CGATTTCTTCCCAGCGCTCTGTTAGCTGAGCGTGCAGCCGAGTCTCCAGTTCTTCAGAATCTAATCGGTGAAGAAGAAGTTTTAACTTATATGTTGTACTGTAGTACCAACAACTGGAATCCATTTGATCTTCGATAAAAATTCGGCGTGCAATAAACCAATATCTGCGTCCATGACGATCAACTCCTAAGCTATCATGTCGTATTAACACACCATGCTTTTCTTGTGGCAACACACAGTCAATAACACCACTGACCTTGTGCGAGCGACATAATCCACACTGCCAATCCTCAGTGGGGACATCACTCATTGGGGGATCAACACATTCCAAATGATAGACTGCAGGGCAGGTTTCGCAGCAGAGCAAATCTCCAAGTCGATGGCAAACACGGCAATGGTCATCGTAATGAATGGGTCCCTCCTGAAGCATTACATCGCGAATAGAATTGGCTGTCAAAAACTGATCTGCCAAGAACTGGAGCACGCCAAGACGGTTTTCAATGCCGGTGTACGGATATTCAGTCCGACTCAATATATCATAAACCTGACGGTCAAATGTCTTGTCACTTTCCACATAGCTGCGCAAAACTTCTGGCCAAGTAATGGCATCAATTAGGTACAGACTTATGTTTACCGTATCCTTTTGATCTAAAGGCCCAAAATGCGTGCCCTGAACATCCTCTTCTCGTAAGATCGCCTTTAGCAACATTATATGTACATCCGTCAAAAGTGCACTCTGCTCGTCGCAAGTTAAAGCTGCACAGAAGTCTTCAAAGCGAAAGGGTGAGAGACGAACCAAGTGACGAAAACGTCGCAGTACTTCATAAATGCTGAGGGCGCGCAAAACGTGTGCATTTGCAATAGACAAATCTTCTGATGAATCCGGCAGATCAAGAGGAGCATATTCCCGGCCTTCTTGAAGCCAAATTGGATCCGGACTGGGCGGACGTGGTGGCCGACCAACTCCATTTTGGGTAAAGCTGCACACGGAAAATTCCGACTCACTCTCATTGCCTGCATCTAAGCTTTCATCATCGCTGGGGGTAAGTAATATGTCATCCTCATTATCAGATTTATCGTCATCAGAATCTCCAAAATCTGACCCATAGTGATATTCAGACTCGTACCCTGTAGGAACAAACAAGGTAGGTACATTAAAAAACGTAATTTGTTAGGCATTTACCTTTCAAGCGTTTGCTTGAGTGCAATTTTAACATTTTATATTTGTTTTTTTTATTTTTGGAGTGTAATCAATTTGATTTTAAATGGGATAAGAAATATCCGATGTCAAAATTGTGTTCTCTACTTTTGTTTGTCATTTTCGACACACATTTTAAATGTTTATGTGATCTTGATACAGTGGCAACACAACTATTTCCATTTAAATAACCTAAAGTAAATCTTATCAGCAATCGTCGTGCAACATAATTTTGTTTATGCATTCAGATATATTGATTTTAAGATTATCAAGTAAAAAATGTATTAATTAAATATAGTAAACATAAATAGGTTCAAGTCAATCGGGAAAATTACTACGTGCGCACTTTTGCTGTAAAATGTTTTTACTTGCACATACATTTTAAACGTTGAATATAAACATTTCTTAAACTCACCTTTTCTTCCAGAATAGTGGCTGGTATTTGGTTGCACATTTGACTTGCGCCCGCGTCCCCTCTTAGCGGTGCTTCCACGGTTCCCACGGCTGTTATTGTTATGGCTGCTGCGACTGCACTCATCGCTTTGTGGGGAAATGCCGCGCGAAGCTGATGGTGTGCTTGCCTGCGATTTTCCTTCGCTCAGATATTTCGGCTTTTTGAGCAATTGATAACTAAAACGTCCAGATGAAGTTCGCTCATTTGACGTCTTTGGCGGTCGACCACGCTTACGGCTCCCACGACCGCTCATTTTTGTGGTTTGGTTTTTGCCTGGCTAAGGCTATCAAATACACACAATCTTAATAACTGTCTTTTCTATGGGTGCTTCTGAATTTTGCTCAAATATGGTTCCGTTTTTCCGTGTAGGAATTGCACATTAGATCTAAGTATAACGAGAAATAATTCATTTAATGAAAATTGCTACCGATGTATTGTGTACATTTATCACTCTTCGCAGCCCATCCGTCTACGAACACATCCAAACATACACATATATTCAATTGGATATGCGAGAAAAATCGATCAGGTTCAAAGCTGCTAATTCTTCTTGTTTCACTTTGTTTACGCGTTGTACACATTTTTATTTATACTTTAATATCACCCGCCAAAATATAATGTTTGTTAGACTAGGCTTAATATATTAAAAGTGCGTTTGTATGCAACCACATTCTCAATTTATAATATGGACTGCACACGCACTGAACAGCAGCACAACGAAATGAGTTTGTGTGTGTGCGAGGAAATAAAGCCAACGCACATTGTCCGCCATTTATAAATGATGAAAATTCTATTCATTTCAACAAAAAACTACACATTCGGCACTAACATTAAAATGTAATATACACAGTTTGGGCATATATTAATTATATTTAACACAACATGTTACAATTTTAGACCTTTCGAGCGAGCGAAATTATCTTTTACCTAACATAGTTCACTTGGAGAGGGTGTACGGTGTACAGTCGGCCAATCACAGGAGCTCTTTCATTTGTAAATGTCGCAAGCGACGTCTGTCGGTCGGTTTTGGGACTAGTATATGAATGGTTGCCCACAGGGCTGCTAGTTAAAATATCGATATTTTCATTGAAGAATACGTAAATATTTACAAAAAAACAAACAGATTGAGTGCTATACAATTAAAAAAACTCAATAATATTGCTTTTCCAGTATTGGAGTGGATTTTTACTACCCGATGCATTTCGCAGCCCCAAGAATTGCGGAGTATTATTATATCATCGGTACCACTTATTTTCGCAATGTATGTATTTTGTCCGTCAAGCCATTATATTCGTTTATTTGAATGTGATTTTGTGGATGGGGCGGTTCGCCCATTGGCTAGATTTTTGACTTATTTTTTCATTATCGATACATCGATGGCATCGTGCACTGCCCAGTGCTGCAAAAGGTTTTTCTTTTGATACGGACAATGGCGTCAATATAACGGAACAATTCAGTGAAGTGAAAGGTTGTGTTCTTTTAAAAACATATACATTTATTTTTTTTGGCGTAAGAGCATGTTCGGTTGCTAAGTGTATACGGCTGGGTTCTTAACGGTTAAAACTACAAGTGCTGTTTTTTAAGTTTTTGAAACGTGTATGTTCTTTACTGTATGTTCTTTAATTTTCTTATATCCAGGAATTCATATTCGCCTTATCACGTAAATTAGAATGAAATGGTAATAGGGTTTTTAGACTAGCAGTCGGCGACAACAGTTAGCACTTTTATAGAAAGCTGAATTCAAATGCCAGAAGTATACACTATAAGTGCTTTTGGTAAATCTAAATATCTAAATACATATTTAACTTATTGCCACGTTTATCTTTATGCCGTCTAAAACCCTTTAACAGACACTTAGTGATTTAAACGACATTTACAAAAAAACAAAACATAACTGTAACTCTCTTTCGTTTACATTTTTCAATTGGTATATTGCCAATTCTTTATACATACATTTGTGTGTATTTAAGTATAGGACTGGATGCGTATATCAATGTTTATGTATTATGATATTCTGTGTGCTTAGGCGAATGAACTATCCGTTGGCAACAGCGCAGCGGCGGAATCGGCCAGCTCGATAGCAGCGACACGGGCCGCTGTGAGAGTCTCATCTGCGTCAAAGACCGGCTTGTGCGTTGGCGATTGGCTTGGCGTACAGTTGGAGCTCTTTGGTTTGCGGAACCAGTTGCCGATGCGGCGTCGTCCTAGGGAACCCGTTGATGTTGTCGTCGACAGCATCTGCGAGTTGTCCACGCTGGCGATACCATCCCGGGATTGCGATTTTTTCGGCAAAGTGTCGCAAAACCGGGAGGCTGACTTGGCCGGCGATTCCGGAACGGAACTTTCCCCACTAGCTGATGTGGCACACAGGGCGTGCTCGAAGTCGGCCAGCTCGTAGTCCGACTGATCTGAAAAGTCACCCGGCCGCTCCTCGTAGGTGTACTCGAACCCTGTCATCTCTGATACGTGGAGTGCCATGCCTCCGAACTGGCGCTCAAGGGCGAGGGTGTTGAGGAAGCGGTGCTTGCGGTTCGCCGAGCGGAAGCTGAAGTCATACCACTTATCCCGCGATTCGCAGTATATCCGCAGCGAGTTCTTGATCGTGTGCCCAAACATCTTTCCATCTCGTACGTTAACAACCCGACAGCGGTCGAAAAATATACGTCCTTTGTAGATAAAGTGGCTGCGTTTAATGATGTCGCGCTTGCAATAGACCAACAGATTGTCGAATAAGAACAGGGTGTAGCTGCTATTCCACAGATTCTGCTTCTGTCGTGTGGCATCGACCTGTAGAAAGAAGCGTGCACTGTGCAAGTGCAATGGCGGGCCCTTGAAGTTCTAAAAGCTGGCCTGGTGCCTCGCAATAGTCTCGCTATGGCGTTTTCCCTCATTTACGGCCTCTGTGATTCCGCGCATGGCCTCCATCGCCAAAATTAAACACGTACATATGTAAATACCTACATACAAAGTACATCAATATGTATGTAAATATATTTATCTGAACAAATATATCTGTAACGTTCAATTTTTGTCCACCCCCAAGTGGCCCCACTCTGCACATGTTACGAAAGGCCAAACCCCGAAAACGTTCCATAGCAGTCCAGCAAAGCGTCCAACAAAACCGGCTTCAAGGCGCTAAAAGATCACAAACCACACAATCAAATGTGTCTGCCCGCGGTGACGACTTGCTGTTAACCATTGAATTTAGAATCTTTGAGGTATTGTCGATCGCTTGCCCTCTGTCCGATCACCAGAGGCATATCTCGGTTACCACCTCGGTCCCGGCATTAATGCATGGTCATGCCGCCAACCAGGTCCAGCAATAAAAGAAAAATGTTTAATAATTATACAAATCTGGTACAAAATGTTATGAAGCCGCTGACACATTTGTGTTTAGAAAATTAACTTAAACGTAGCTGATTAACTTGATAAACTATTCATGAAACATAGCTTTACCGTTGAGAACTTTCATGTGTTGAGAAATGTGAATGAAGATATGTGCGAAAACATTCAATAAAGATGCTTATTAAAAACAAAATTCCCTCCACTGGTATGCACTAGTCCTATCTGCTATTTACAAAGAAGTTAAATATATGTGTTAGCTACATGACCCCGACATAATCGATTTCTGCATCCGGTTCACGAATGAACACAAGCTGTTCCAAGCGGTCAATACGCTTCAGCATTTGTTCTTTTTCTCGGTGAAATGAATCAACCCGCCTGCGCAATTCCTCGTTCTGCCGTCGAAGCTCATGTAGTTGCCGAAAAATTTCAGAAGATGTCATCAGTGGCATTGCATTAGGCCCTTTTGAGCCCACCTTTGCTACGTTGGCCACAGCCTTGCTGGCAACTCCGTTGCTTGTCGTCACGAGGGCAGCTCCAGCTGCTGGGGATGGACGCAGCTGTATTGTCTGAACGGTTCCAACTTGGCCCCTCAGCGTGCTCGCCGTAGCAGAATGTGCCGCAGCTGCTTGCTGGGACGATGGAGCAATGACTTCGTTCAGCAACTGCTGTTGTTCATCCATTATGCTGGGTTCTGGGGGTCTTTGAACGGATGGAAGTTTGAGCTAAAAGCAGACAATACCAAGATAATATTTATTTTTGTACTTTCATGCATTGCCGAGCTTAGAAATATTTAAACCAGACTAATCTTAAAAATGAAAACTCAAAACACAAACCTGACGAGACTGAAGTTGGCGCATGTTTACCAGTTTGGTTCCATCGGTGAGTTGACGTACCATTCCAGAGCTTTAACTCATAAAAAAATTAGTCATGCTGCTGGTAAATGAAGAGGACGGGCCTACCTTGCCAATGATGCGGGTATTTTTTGTAGGGACTTTGGCTGATTGTCCGTCCCGCAAAGTTTCTTAAAATCAGTCAACGAGATTATACGTATGTTCTGCTGAGAAAAAAAACCTATAGCTATGGTTTACAAACAGGCAGGAGGTCTCACCTTGTTTTTAGACACCCCAGCCGGACTGAGTGGCGCTGGCTCCTTTTGCTTGATAACATTCATGCGAATCTTCTGAGGGGGTGAGCTATTTTGGGTGAGACGCAGACCAATATTTGGGGTTTTTCTGGCACTTCCATTCACATATTTCTTAACGTTTATGCTCGAATTAGTTTCATGTAACAGCATGCGACCCCCTTCGGAGAGAATGAGCTGACGACCGTTTTGTAGTGCCGTATTCAACATTTCCTTCGAAGCTTCGTCATCGTTCTCCTGCATCATGTCTGCAATGCCGTGGGTCTTGAGCATGTTTAACGCCGAGTTGACTAATACATTGGGATCTGCAAGGCACAAATTGGTTGCTATGTTTTTTTGATTTACCTAATGGAACTTACGCCCACGGAGGTTTTCCAAGACATCCATTCTTTCTTCGACTGACATTTCTGAATCGTCAACCCTTTTTTTGGGCCCGGGCTCTTCCATTATAGAATTGACAGCCTCACTGGTTTCTTTCTAAGAATCAATTGAAGTACATATTAACAATTTATCTTCTGACTACCATTCAATAAGTTTTTTAATTTCTACAGTCCAACGTGTGGGATATTATGGGGCATTATGGAGCTTGGAGTAATTTTGTAGCAACCAAATATGGAATATTTGAGGTACATACTCTGCTTTTATGTGTCTGCCGCTGGAAGCGTATATCGGATACGTCGGTTGTAGGAAATTATATATTAATAAGTTAATAAGTAAGCGTAAGAACTCGTGACAAACTAACAATATTCTGTATACACGCAATTCTGTTTCGGCACTCACCTCCGATTCCTCGTTCAATTTTCGACTGGCCTGGGCCTGCCGTGCTGCCTCCAGTTCGGCCAACACATCCGCCTGTTCAGTGTACACGGCCAGTGCAATTGGCGTCTTGCCGAATTTGGAAACTAGCGACACATCTGCCTGGCATTTTAGTAACATTCGCACAATGGATTTGTGCTTTTTTTCCACGGCCCAGTGGAGAGGCGTCATTCGAAGCTGTGAGATGGGGCATAGTTGGGTTACAATTACTGAATTAGGGTTAAACTCATGTCGTACCATGTCTCGAGAATTAACGCTGCACTTGAGTGCCAACAATAAGCTGACCACTCGCTCGTGTCCGTAGTAGCAGGCTAAATGCAGAGGCGTTCTGTCCACCTTAGTTTTGGCGTCCATATTTATGCCGCCCTGAAGAAGTATTTCACAGATTTCCAGTTGGTTGTTCATAGCAGCAAAGTGCAGCGCAGACATTCCCAGCCAGTCTGAGGCAAAGGGGGCCCCATGTGCTAGCGCCGTTTTGACGCCTGTCACATCGCTGTCCCTTGCGCATTGCAGCAATTGCTTGCCTAGGTCCACGACTGTTGATGGACCAGACCCGTTGCCCTTCTTTTGTTGAAGTTCTCCTTCTGTCCGCTAAGCAAGCGATAAACGTTAACTTTTCCTTAGTACGATAATCTTCCTACTTACAATTTCATAGTGAAGCAAGTTGGTGTGATCAGTGGGATCCATTGGATACACATTTCCATCCGCTCGGAGAGTGGCGACAACCTTGCTGGTGCCGCCTTGGCTCTGCATTTTAGAATGCAAACACTTTTAGCAGCACGGTGAACCTTTTAGTAAGCATTACTGTAAACGGATTTTGTGATAGAATAAGAAAAAAAATACAAAAAGAAATGTTTGTTTTCCAAATAAATTGCGATATTAAAGATATCGATATATTCTTCAGCAACTATAGTATCGCATCTTTGCTGTACATCGATATAGGCAGGGTTGAAATTATTATCACTTGAATATAGTGACAGTTGACGTGGATTTAAAATTTCACTCACCATCCCTCTTGCTCACTGTTTGTAATATGCAATTGTTACTTTAAAACGGAGCCGGATACGGTGGCAGCTCCAACGAAGGATTGTTTTGGTATAGACAAATTAATGTAACGTAAATCAACAAATCTTTGTCAGAGTTTTCTTCTTTCGTTTTGGAGCCCTGCATACTTACATACATATATATGTATATATTGATATCTTATCACCAGGGCTGACCGATGCAATGGCACAGCACGAACACGAACACGAGCCGTTTGTTCTGCTAGTATTATTTTAGTAAGCAACATCAGCGGAAGAGTTCAATTTAATTTAACTTTAGCACAGTGAGCTTAATTGTCCACATGTACATACGTAAAACTACAAAAATATATAGACGATACATTCAGCCGTTAGTTATAATCCACCTTTATAAATCTTGCTGCATCTATCATTGCATTATTTAAGGGTTTTTTGAATTCCTTGACTATGTACTTTTATTAGCTGTCACGTAATAAAACCATTAAAACATTTTTCCATGAAAGTAATTGTAAAAAAATGCGTCTACCAGCACACTCATGTCCATTATCAATCTGACGTCATGTGTTTGATAATGATAACTAGAAATGAGACAAATTGTTCTGCCCAGGTTTCGAATAGATAAGATAAATACGTATTTTATAGCTGTAAGTCGCGACTTACCTATATGTGGTTTGTTTACACATTATTGGCGTGCAAGGCAATGGGTATAGCAAGTCGAAAATATTCCTTAAACATACTTAAAAGAATATCAAAAACTATCTTATGCATAGCCCTTTCAATAGAAACCGTTCGTTTTCTGAACCGCGTGTTACACTTATCTTCATTTTCAGAATAGTCTAACTGTCCTTCCTATATAAAAATGACGTTTTATTATTTGCAAGAAATTGTCATGGTGTATTTAGCAACATACTCCGGCGTTTTATTGTCTTTTGCCCAGACAACCGATCAGTACAATTTAAACACACTAAGGTAAGAGTTAAGTTGAGAAAATATTTGTAAATGCATGAACCTTTATGTACCTTTTGTTTTAGTAATAATGAGGGCATAGACAATGTAACGTCAACTGAGTCTTTGGAACCAATGTCCGGCGTCAAAAGTTTTTCAATTGAATCGAGCACATCTACGTCCGTGGCGTCCGTTAATACTGCCTTACCAGCTGACTGTTCGCAACGAGAAAAGAACAGAGGACAACCAATCGCAAAAAGTTCGTCACGTTTGCGAAAATGCTGCCCACTTGGGGAAAATCTTAACATCTATCGTGAAAATCAAAGTGATTCGATGTGCGACAATGGTATTCTTAAGTTTGAACCTGATGTAATAAGCGCAGTTCTGTTTGATAATTGCATTGAGGATCTGGAAATTGAAACGATTCTTCCCTATGATATTGGAAATCCATGTAACAGGCAAGTCAATCATTTATTTATTTATTTATAGTTGTTTCATTTCCAACAACTACAATGGCTTTAACGTCAAGAGCAGCTCCTTTCAATATGATGATGAAGAGGATGTTTTCTTTGTGTTACAAGATGGATCTTTATTAATTATCGACCATGATAATGAATCCTACACCGTCGAAAAAAATTACTGCTTGGATATTGATAAGACGGGACACTTATTTGCCTTCACATGCATCACGCAAGTTGAAGAACAAATTGCATTTGCAAAAGTAAGCAAAATGTACACTATTTGTTCCCAATAACGTTTCCTACTCTTTTTGTATAGGTGGTAATGGTAGCAGTCCTAATGCTTATATCCATGCCTTGCTTGCTCTTAGTTAGTTATTTGCATCTGACTCTTCGTTTATTGCGTAACTTGCATGGTCTCTCCCTAAGTTTGATGTCTTTGTGTTTGGCATCAGGATATTTTGTGCACTCTGTTGTACACATCTACGAAATTCCGAACACCGGATTTATTGGTTACGTTGTACAGTTTTTTATACTAAGCTATTTTTGTTGGTACTTCTGCATATGTTTTAATGTTCTTTTTAATGTGTGGTACAAATTGCCTTGCTGTATACAACTAACAAAGACGTGGGCCACCATTAATTTTGTTTGCTATTGTTTAATTGCTTTTACGGGACCTGCAACTTTGGTAGCGCTTACTGTGCAAAAAGGACTTCCAGGTATGCCATCATACTTTCTGCAAGGACTTACGGAATCTATTCGAGAATCACAGCGCTACTTCATACCTCCTGTTTCTACAATTTTAATTTGTAGTTTTTTGGTAAGCCCGGAAGGATAGATTTGTAAGGATTTCCCCTATTTTAATATACACCGATGCTTACATTTTCTAGGTAAACATAATATCATTCTTTGGGTTTCAACGCATTAATGGCTATGCACAGGCAGAGAAGAATGATACTGCTGGGCCAAGTGATGCCATATTTGATCAGCAAAAATATGAAGACGTGAAAAAAGAGTAAGCTGACTTTAAATTTTCCTACGTTGAAATCCCTTTTACTTTAAAATATTTTCAGTGCGAAATGCGTCAGTTTACTGGGTATTATTATGATAATAAGCTGGCTTTTTGAAATAGTCACATTTTACTCAGGGTCCAACTCCAATTACTTGCTTCTGTGCGACATGGTCAATGGTCTGCAAGGAGTTTGGGTATTGCTAATTTTTCTTGTTGTACGTAGACGTCGTACAATCATTTTGCGTTGGTGGTATGATCGTGGTTCACATAAAATTGAAGGTACAGAGCTGCAGGAGCTTGATAAAAATGTCAATCAAATATAGTTTAAATGGCCTGTAAAGTTTTTGTAATAATAGGAAAATAAACATAGCTATCATAATTGTATAATATGCATATAAATGTTTATGTTTATTTCGTCTTACACATAAATATGAAATTTTTGTTCTTGTTGTGATTTGTATACGTGTATGATCATATTTTTAAATAGTCCAGTTAATTTAAAGAAAGATTTACCAACTATGCTTTAAGTATGCTAATAATCTTAAAGGAAATATGTAATTTGTTTGGGCTATCCAAAGCAAAATTAGCCTTTTTATATGTAGTTACTGATTTACGATGGATGTTAAATAAGGTTAGAATAAATTGGTTTGCTTACGTTTCTGTGCTACGCAGTGTCGATTTCATCATAAACTAAATGCGTATTTACATGTTGTATGCGACGTAGATGGGATCCAGCTGGTCGGCAAGAAAACCATCACGTAAATGCATCCGTTGCTTTTCCCCACGGCTGTTAATAGGCACCACTCCTAAAAAAAAATTACTCGTTAATGGTGCTGTTTGTGAATGGCTAAAACTGAGTATATCAAATGTATGACGTGGTAGGACTTGATCTGATTGGGTTTTAAACAAACCTGGATCAACCACCACAACTACGCCAACTATAAGTTGGTGATCTTCCAATACTGTATTTGTGACCAGGGGCACTAAGTCCAATGCTTCTGATTCATTGCCATCGAGCTCCACAACTACGACCAGCAAATTGGTCCAGGTGAATACGGCACTAAAAATACATTTTGAAAAATAAATGTAAATAGCAAATGTTTCTCTTCTTACCATTCAGCGATTTTTTTGTGACACCGCATTACTGAGTTTTCAATATCAATTGGATGATAGTTCATGCCCCGTAGAGAGATCACTTCATCAACAGCTCCGACTACGTACACTGCATCGTGCAGCTCTTGGTCATTGGAGTTTACGGCACCACTTACTATGCTATGCTCTGAGTTTCCACCCAAGGAAGTGTTAGAAAAGTTTAGTTGCAGTTGACTTATGGAGTTCAAGGATTCAGTATCACTGTCACGACTAGCCACACTTGGTGTGGTTTCGTCAAGTAACGAAGCTGCTTGTGAACACTCAGTGCGCCGCAAGAAACCTAAATACCCAGTACGCGCATATATCTCAGCTGTAGCCCCAGTTACTAATTTAGCATTAAAATGATCATTGTAGTCAGTTTCGTCGCCATATATGGTAAAGTATCCATTTGCATTATGGGGCGCTTGTACCTGCAAGATATACATACATATATTGATTAAGACGTAGGAGAAAACTCAACTACAAATTTACCCAAATTTCTCCCAAGTGTGAATCGCCACAGTGTCCTTTAGTGTCAGGATTAGCTATTATTACTTTTACGCCCGGTAGAAGTTTTCCGGATTCAATTACACACAATGAATTTGGTGCACCACGTTCAACCAATGCCACACGATTGTTACGCAACGCTCTCATATCTACATAGACCTGAGCACTTTCTGCAGAACTAGCCCCCTGCACACAAATAGCGGGATTTACACGGCATCCGAAGGAAGTTGAAACACATCGAGTGTTTAAACCAAGGGCTTGGAACAGCTTGCAAAATTGTTGTGTCAGCTGTACTCTTGGGCGCTCCTCTGCTACTACAACACATGTCCGCACGCATCTTAGGTCTATGTTTCTTTGCTTTAAAGAGGGTATAGAATTGCTTAGTGCTTTAGTGCATAATTCTATCACACCATATGAACAAAAGGTGTCGCGAACACGGTGTTGCGAGAGAGTTGACAACCACAAACTGGGATTAGCTTCAACTTCGTAAGGTGCTATAAGTATTGAATGGTGTCCACTGTATACCCCGATAAGAGTCCACATTACAAATCCAAGACCACAATAGGGATCCAAACATAACGCAACATGACGAGACGGGTAAAGTTCACAGGCCAATTTTAAACTGGCACACAGACTAGAGAGAGATCTGTTGAATTAAAGATGAATTACAAATATGCATGTCAAATCATCAAACCAATATTTTAATTACGTACCGATGCGATATATTGACACCACTAAGACGTCCACAGGTTGATACACTGAAATCTAAATAAGCACTGGAGTCAAACGAGACGGT